CCAGGGAGACCTCACTGAGAAGATGAAATTTGAGTACATTCCTGAAGGAAAAGGAGGGAGGGAGCCTCACATATGATATCTGGGAGAAAAGCATTCCAGGCAAGAACAAGCAAGCAAGCAGAGGAGCAGGAGGAGACAAAGTCAGACAGGGCCTTAGAGATCATGCATGTGAGGACTTTGGCTGTTTCTGAGTGAAGCAGGCCACTGGAGGGACATTACCTGTGACATTCATTGCCTGCTCTACCTTGTAACAGGATCACTCTGGCTGCTGGGTTGAGAATAGTCTGAAGTGGGATCATGGGGGGCCCACGCCTCATGTCTCTCCCTCAATACTCCTACCATCCCCCTCATGCACACCCCCCACTGTCTAATGGACCTGAGGGCCATTCAAATCCCCGCCTTCCAACCTTCATCACCGCCCATCTGAGCTGCCCAACAGCTTCTGCTCTGGGGACAGAGTTCAACAGCCCTGTAAGGAGCCTGCCTTTCCACTTTAACTCCAAGGTATTTGATAAGACCCAGAACTAGAACAAAGACTCACATAGGCAATGTTTAAAATGAGTAAGTTTTGTCTCCCCCCAACCCAAAAAGTTCCCTTCAAACCCCAAGGGAAGGGCAAAGGTAGGGGAAACATGGGCTCCCCTGCCCCAGCTCTGCCCAGGACAGCTGGGTGTGGGTCTTGCTGGGACCGGCCCCTCCTTGGGACCAGGAGAATAAATAAACCTCAGACACGTATAAGAAGAATACGCAGCCAATGAACCCTGCCAGGCCCCCTGTGCCCCCACTCCTCTGAGCACAGAGGACATGCTTGTAATGCCTTGCCAAAGTGGCAGGACAGGCGCCTGCACCCTCACGTCACTGTCCCCCAGATTCCAGCCTGCCCCACAGTGGCCCGGCTGTCCTAACCTTTTCCTGAGGGGAAGGACCATCCACAGCTGCAACATCCAATGACTGAGCATTTGAAATGTGGGTAGTCGGAACTGAGACATGCTCTGAGTGTAAAATGCACATCAAATTTTCAAGACTTTGTAATAAAATAAAAGACTATAGAATATCTCATTAACAATTTGTGTATTAAATGAAAATATTTAGCGGTTTAATAAAATATAGAGTAATATATTCATTTCACCTGTTTCTTTTTACTTTTTTTAACTATTAGAAAATCTTAAATTATTTACAAGGTTCATTATATTTCAATTGGACAGCCCTGAACAAGAGTTCTGACTGGCCCCCCATCATCTCCATGGAACAACGCAAAGAGAAGCACAGGCAGGTCAAGCTGATGATGGAAAGATAACTTTGGTTTTATTTTTCTTGTCTATTTCATTCACACTGGAAGGAGAGAAGCAAGAGGAGTTCAAAGGGGCTCAGGCTGGAGATGGTGACAGCCTGCTACCACCGCCAACCACCCACCCCCTCACCAATCCAGAGTGGTGTGTGGTGCCAGATTCATTTACTAGAAGCAGAGCTCTGGTCTTGTTATAATTCAGAACCCTCCATGGGCCCCTGACCCAGGCCAAATGCCTCATCGTGGCATTCAAGGCCCTGTACAACCTGAGCCAAAGATGTCTTTCCAGCTTCATCTCACATGCTCCCTGCTGGGCACACCTGTCAGTTCATTCATTCATTCAATCAATCATTCAACAAATATTTATTGATTACCTCCCATGTGCCAAGCACAGTGCTGGCTAGTGAGGTCATGATGATTAACAAAACACACCGTCCCTTTACATGTTTGGGACCATACGTCTAGTGGGGATGACAGATAAGTAAATAAGAACAATTGCAGCATATTACAGAAAGAGCAGTTGTGAGGGAAGCACAGGGGCTATGGGTGCACGAAAGAGGCACCTAAGTCAGCCTGGAGATCAGGGAGGTCTTCCTGGAAGAGGTGACATCTTAGTTGAAAAATGCAAGTTGGCCAGACTGGGGCTGTGGGAGTGGTAAATATCCCAGATGGGGAAACTCTTTGAGTTGAAAATCCAGAAGAGCAGAGGGCAAAGTGTGCAGAACTGACCTTCTTTCTGACTGACATTCTTTCTGGCTAGAGGGCAGGGGCCAGTGGCAAACAACTGGCCTGGTGAGCTTGGCAGCCCCATGGAGACTTTATGAGCCTTGTGAAGGAGTGTCACGTTTATTCTGAAAGAACTGGAAGTGTTTTAAGCTAGGGAGCTCCTGTTTCCCCCATCAAATGCCTTTACCTCCCAGTTCCCTCATGTTCCACCTCCCCAGCCAATGGTCATGCAAGATCCATACAGGTGGGACAGGCCTACCAGTCAGGCATTTGAGGCTCTGGTGAAGGAGGAAGAACCGGGGGTTTGTGGGGGCTCCAGCGCAGGGGAAACAGCCAAGGGATGTGGCTACTGGGGCTGGGATTGGGGCTGAGCGAGTGTTGGAATTTGGGGCTGAGGCTGTGTTTGGAGTTGGAGCTGGGTTTTGGCGGCTGGAGGTGAAATTGGGGTCTAAGACCTAAGTCTGGAATTTGGAGGTGGGGTTGGGATAAGGAGTTGGAGCTGAGGTTTCAAGCCAGATTTGGGGCTGGAATTCGGAGATAGGGCTGGAATTTGATTTGGAAATAGTATAGATTGGAATTTGAGGTTCAGGGTTGGAGGTGGGATTTGGGGTAGGAGCTGGGATTGAAGCTACAAATCCTAGTTAGGGTTTGAAACCACAGCCGGAGCTGGGCGCTGAGTTTGGGATTGGTGTTTGGGGCTGGAGGTAAGGCTAGAAGTTGGGCTTGGAGCCGGGGCCCAGGCTCTAGGGCAGACAGACAACATTCCTCCTGCTGCCCAGGTCTGGGAATTGTGTTCTGAGCCCTAACAGCAGGTGACAGAAGCCCCTCCCTTCCCAGGAATGCCTCTGCCCAGCAGAAGGAGTATTGAGTGCCACGTCAGCCAGTCGGCTCAGGCCTTGTTCTGCAAACACCTGTTGATCTCCCTCCCCTCCAGGCTCACCTGCTTGCAGGATAGGCTGGTGAAGCGTCCCCAGAAACGGAGCTGGAGCGCCCCACCCACCCTGCCTGCTCGGATCGCATTCAGCACATCTGGACTTCTCGTGAGTGCCCCATAGCCCCCCGCCCCCATCGCCCCCACCTTCCCCACTGGCCCTTTCCCCGACAACCTCCACCCCTCCCCCTCGACCGGCCTCGCTGTCCCAGCACACCTGTTCAAGCACTTTCAGACCAGCGAAGTCACAGCCCCGGGGAATGCTGGGACTGACTCCAGGGGCCCTTCCCACGGCCCTTCCCTCACCTACCTTCTGGGGCATCTGAACAAGACCCGCCCTGCTTGTGTTGAGTAGCCCCTGCGGAGGAGTCATTGAGGCTGGAAACCTCATCAGGGGTGTAACCTGTGTAAGGCCAAGTAATCATGTTGCTGGAATGATCCAGGGCCTGTGTCCTAGGTATAAAGCAGGAGTCCTATCCTGAATTGGAGGGAGCGACGTCTAGTCTATTTCTTCAGAAACCATTTGTTGAGCGTCTATACAGGCTCTAGGCCCCTTTGGGAATTCTGAAATGAAGATGTCAAATGACTCAGCCCCACCCCTCGAGATAATATTATTGTCTTTCTTTTTCAGATAAGGAGACTGAGGCTCTAGGAGGTAAACTAATCGGGCTTCCCTGACCCTCCCCCGCTCCACTGGGCTCCCAACCCACAGCCCAGCACTAACATCAGGGAACAAGACCAGCCCTTATGGCTGTCTCTTGCTTTCAGCTGGGGCTCCTTGAGGGCAGGGACCTCGTCTGCTTTATTTTTCCCAGTGTGAGTCATGGTGCTGGTCTCCAGAGGGCCTGTTAAATGAGTAACCATTGTTAGGTCCCTCGCCCAAGTTGCCACTGGTGCTAAGGACTGGAGCTTCAGTTCAAATCCAGAGCCCTCCTTTGTCCTCTGCACCACTTTAGAGAAGTCACAGAGGAGGGTGGAGAAGGGTGGGGGAGGGGAGGAGCAGTGAGGAAATGGAGGGAAGGGTGAAGAGGCAGGAGTCATAGGGATAAGAGCAGGGAAGGAATGGAGAAGTGTTGAGAGGTGAAGTCCTCAGGGTGTGGATTAGATATGGCAGAAGGAGAAGGAGGCATCCCATACAGTTGCCTCACAGCATTCGGACTTGGGTGGCTGAGACGGTGGGGAGGCCAGTGCTGAAGTGAGGCATGTAGGAGAAGAAGCAGGTTTGGGGTAGATGACAAGCTTGGGTTGGGACTTATTGCTTCAAAGGTGACTATGGGACATTAAGGTGATAATTGACTTTATGGGTCTGGAGCTCAGGAGAGAGATTCAGGTTCGAGAGTGATTTGGGACCCGTCAGCTTCTATTGCTGCAGTTGAGGTTGTGAGAGTGAATGGGATGTTAGGGGAGGGCAGGTGTCAGGGGTCAGATCCTAACCCATAGAGAAGGAGGAGAAGGTCCGTCCCGTAAGAGAGAAGACTCAAGGGTCAGACTGCTGTCTCCAGAAGAGTTAAGTCATAAGCCCCTCTCCCTCCCCACTGCCTCCCCACCCCCCCAGGAGCCAACAGTGACAGCTGAGGCCATGTGAGTCTGATCCTGAATGAGGCTTTATCTCTAGCTGTTCATCCCATCATCCTCCGTGGCACCAGCTTCCTCGGCCAGCTGGGATGGGACAGGCATCTGAGAGAGCCGGAGCCAGAGAGGTCAGGGGCTGGGCAAGGGGGATTCCCTGGGTGTGTGGGGGAGTGGGGGAGGGTGCCTTATGGGGAAGGGAGCTTTCCTGGGGTATTGGGGAGAGAGCTTTCCCAGGGGGGTATACCAGGGGACACTGGGGGGGATTCCCAAGGCTCCCAGGAGGGAACATGAGGGACAGGCGGGCTGGAGCGGTGACAACTGTGATTCCCTCCCTGCAGGTCATGGTGATCATACCCTGGACTGTGAGAGGAACAGCACTGTGGGCCTCTAGCTGCCAAGCAGGTGGTGGGGGCACCAGGCCATGAACCACGGCCTCTAGCCCCTGACGGTGACGCTCTGCCCTGACCCCTGCCAGACCAAGCCATGTCTGAAGGAGCGTCTCAAGCCGCACTGGGCCGGGGACTGCCAGCAGATGTACTGGCTGAGCAGGTGGAGCTGTGGTGGTCCCAGCAGCCACGTCGCTCGGCACTCTGCTTTGCTGTGGCTGTGGTCCTCGTGGCAGGCTGCGGGGCAAGTGGCGTGGTACTGCTCTCCTCCACCAGCAGCCGCTCGGGTGAATGGCGGCTAGCATCAGGCACAGTGCTCTGTCTGCTGGCCCTGCTAGTGCTGGTAAAGCAGCTGATGAGCTCAGCTGTGCAGGACATGAATTGCGTGCGTCAGCCCCACCACGTGGCCCTGCTGCGCAGTGGTGGAGGTGCCGATGCCCTCGTGGTTCTGCTTAGCGGCCTGGTGTTGCTGGTCACCGGGCTGACACTGGCTGGGCTGGCTGCCGCCCCCACTCCCACCCAGCCACTGGCCACCATGCTGTCAGTGGGCATAGCTCTGGCTGCCTCAGGCTCACTCTTGCTGCTAGGCTTGATGCTATACCAGGTGGGTGTGAGTGGACACTGCCCCCCCATCCGAGCGGCTGCCCCCTCCACCCACAGTGGCCACGGTGGCAGGGGCGGCATCTTCAGCATCTCAGGACAGCTGTCTGCCGGCCAGCGTCATGAGACCACATCCAGCATCGCCAGCCTCATCTGACGGAGCCAAGCCCGAGTCCTCCTTCCCAGCAACCTGCCTCAGCATCCACAGAACATCGGGGCATGAGTGAGTGAGTGAGTGAGTATGTAGTGAGTATGTCACTAGGACTGTGTCAGGCCTGCTGTGGACTTGTGTGGGTGTGTGACTAAGAGTCCAGGTGTGTCCACACATCCACACCATGGGAAGGTGAGTGTGTGTCTCCTTGGAACTGGGTTCTTGTGTCCCTGGAACTGTCAGAGTCTGCCTGTCTGTGTCTGGTGTCTCTAGACAGAGAAGTGTCTGGGATCCACAGATTCTTGACCCTTATTGTCAACATCCCTCAAATCCAACCCTGCCCTGTAATGCCCATCAGGAATTTGCACAGAAGTGACTGTTGCCCCACCCCAGAGACTGCCCCATTGACCCTTCACTGAGGAAGGCAACAAGCAGCAAAGTAGAAAGAACATAGGCTACAGAATGTGACAGGCCTGCATTGGAATCACCCCTCTACCACTTAGCAGTTGGAGGACCTCAGTTTCTGGAGGTTCATGGTCATGGTGATCTACTGTGAGCAATAAATGAGATCATATATGGGAGGACTGGGCATGTGGCAAATGTGCAATAAAAATGGTGGCTGCTATTGTTATTGTCATTACCTCACCCCCTCACCTCAAAGACCTTTCCCCTCACCCCACCCCTCCCAAAGTTAACTCTTTGCTCCTGTGTCAAGCTTATAAAAGGTGCCTTGAAGGGCCCCTCATTCAGGCCTGTGGTTTCTCTTCTTAGGGAACAAGAAGGTAGAGGGGAGATGGGGTGAGGGGACGCCCAGCTTGGGGAGGCGGTGGGTTTCGGGTCACAGGGAGAATAGCATTCAGAGTGGAGGACCTGATTCCTTCGCATTTGTTCATGAGCTGGCCCAAGAGGAGACTTTAAGTATTGGGGTCTTATCAGCTGGCTTCTCTGGAGATTGTCTCTCCCTTCATCTGTGTTCCCTTTGGCTGATTCCCCTGAGGGTAACTGGGGGGCTGCAGCTGCCTACCCCACCTTTGAAACCAGAACATCCTGGGTCTACGTGGTTGCTGAACCAACTGGCCCAGTTCTGGACTCCTGGGCTCGGGAGGGTGTCTGAAACCCCCTTGGGCTGTAAGAGTCACTTCCTGCTTAGAGTCAGCACCCGAAGGGATCTTCCCTTCTATGGTGCAGTGGTACTTCCAGGGTGGCAACGGTAAAGTCCCACTGGATGCAGTGCTCAAAAGCATTGACTACTATTTCATCACTTCCTGCTTCACAAGGTGCAGATGACATAAAGCCCCATGAAGAATACCAAGAGAGGCAGGAAAATGAGATATGCCTCCTAAGAGATATTAAACATAGGGCTACAGAAGAGCTGACAAGAGAAAATTGCTTTCAGCTGACAAAATCGAGGAAGACTCCTGAAGAAAATGCCAAGTTGATGGATGAGGGGAAGGGCATTGCAAACTAAGGGCTTATAAAATGTACCTTGAAGAGCTCTGGAGCAGACACAGAGAGCACTGGGCATGTTCCAGAACATCCAGTACAATAGAATCCTCTCCCCTGAGTATTTCATGGGCACCTCATACTCCACATATTCAAAATTTAATCCCTCTCCTCTATCTTGGAATAGCTCTTTTGTCTTATCTACGGGTGCCACCATTCACGCAAGCACCCAGACTTTGGGGTGATCCGAGACTGTGCCTTCTCTATCTCCTCACCCTGTGTCCAATAATCAAATTACCAACTCCTGCTGATTTCCCTCATAAATATTCATTGAATCCATCCCTTTATGCCCACTACCTAGACAGGACCCACTGTGTCTTTGCCTGGGTTGTAAAGCAACCTCTCTACTTTTGCTCCTGTCTCCTCTTAAATCCACACCCTACACATGTCCCCCAGCACCACCACACACACATATTCAGCCAGGGCGATCATCCTAAAATGTAAATCTACCTTAAAATTCTTGTGTGGTTTCCCACCTCTTCAAGGATAAAGTGAGGACTTCCGAACATGATTTGGTCTTTTTTCCCACAAAGCACCATGAGCAGGCACACTGTGAACTCTCCTTGTTCTCTCGCCTTTCCCAGCCTTTTTGTGTATTGTTCTCTTGGCCTTCTTAGCCTCCAAGACAATTCTCTGGGGAGCCACAGTCTCAGGAGTCTTTTCTCTTCCCCTAAACTAGTGAGTTGCCTCTTCTCTACACCCATAGCACCCTCAACTGTGGACACCAGTCCGCGAATATTTTTGTGCCTGTCTCCTTAACCAGGTGGCGAGTGTTCCTGGCAGGGTTTGGGTCTTGCTCATCTGTGTATCTCTAGTTCCCAACATGGGCCTGACACATAGTAAGTACTTTGTTGGATTAGCTAATGAATGGATGGATGAAGGACACTGGCTTGGTCAGATGGCAGTGTATGTGCAAGGAGAAGTCCACCTATAGTTGGGAAGGGTAGAAAAGTTGACCCACTGTCTACTGTAGGCCTGGAACCTTTCCCTCCTCAGGCCCTATGCTTTCTGCTCCAGAAATACTGACTCTTCCTGGGTTCCCAAGAGGGGCCTATAATTATCACCAACTCCTAGGCCTTTAGAGGATCACAGATGCCTCTCTATCCTGTAATATGGGGGAAATTCCTTTTTCTTTTTGGCTGACACAGGGCTAGAGTCTTTCACAATATTTCTTTGAAGAAACTAGGGAAAACAGAAACACAGAGGCCTAGAAGATGGGGAAGGGGAAGGGTCACATAGCACAAATTTCTGGTTGAGAAGCTACCGTAGGCAAGGCTAGCATCAGGCTCTCCTGGCAAGGATGCTAGATGAAGAATATGGTTCATGCCCCCAGAGGGCTATTCCATAGTGTAGTGGAAGTCGGCACCTATACACCCAGCTAAAATAGGAAGCAGGTGGTGGTAAGAGCCGGGTGGGGGCACAGGCAGAGCAGAAATACTTCTACCTCCCCAATCACTAAAGCAGACTTCCCACTACCTCCTGCCTTCAGCTTGCTTGCTCGAATCAGCTCACTGAACCCATGTTGGTCCACATGGCACCCACTGGTCCACTGGCCCCTCTGCTATCTCTTTCTAAAGCCTCCCTTCCTTATCATCTGTTAAGATTCTATGACCCATCATTTCACCCAGTCCTTGACAGAGTCCTCAGCCCCTTCGCTCCCTGCCCTTTGGTCCACCCTCCCAGTAAAATCCCCTCCATAGGTGATTCCACTCATTTGCCTTCACTGCACCTGCCCACATGCAGTCAGCAGTTATGGGAGAAATCCGCACAGCCAGGCAGCCTGGTGTCCCCGTGAATCTCGCATTACCAGTCTCAACCGGGTCCACAGCGCTGCTCACCAATCACACTGCGTTTCCCTGGTCAGCTGTCTCTCCTGCTCCCAAAGTGACCCTCAAGTTCCCACCACTCCTCTCACCACCCACTCTCTGCAGATGACTTAACCTCCCACTTCAGAGATAAAATGAGGGCTATATGACAAACGCTTCACCTTCTCCCACCAAGTCTCTCCTTCTTTCCTCCTGTTTGTCATATGGCCTTGTCAGCCCAGCTGAAGAATCTGGACTTTGTCCTAAGGACACTGAGGAGCATGGAAAGGTTTTAATCAGGGGAGTACTGCAGTCAGAATTTGGGACTTGCTGGTTTCAGTTTAAAGCTGGACATTGGCTTTAAATAGGATAAAAAGAATAAGAAGAAGTGGCCAAACAGCCCAGAAGAAGTGCCATCCCAGCTGGCCCTGAGGGATGAACTGGGTAGCCATGCTAGAGTGGTCAGGAAGAGTATCCCAGAAAGAAAGAAGAGTATGAACAAAGACCTAGAGACAAGAGGCACTTGATTCCTTTGAGGAACCATAAAGAGTTTGTGTAGCTGAAACATGGCATATTTGCCAGGGAGAGGCAAGTGGTAAGGCTACAGGCACTTGGCCAGTCCCAGAGGCTCCTTAATGGGGCAAGGGGAGATATTTTCTTAAGGCCAAGAGGAAGCCAGTGAAGGATTTTAATCAGAGGAATGGCCTGGTCAGAACTGTGTTTTAGGAGAATCCCACTGCCTGCAGTGAAGATAAATAATTGGAAGAAGCAACAATGGAGGATGGGAAACCAGTTGGGAGATTTATGCCATAGCCCAGGTGTGAGATGATGGGGGCTTAAACTAGGAGGAGGCTGTTAGGATAGAGTGAAAGAAACAGACTCAATGGATGTTTAGAAGATGGGATTGACAGGACTTTGTGACTGATTGGAGAAGCTTTTTAAAATGGAGAGATGTGATCAGTTAAATGTTAATAGAAAGAGAGGTTGAAGATATAAGATAGAGAAGAGTCCATACTTATAGCAATGTCCCTGAGCAGGGGGAGGCAGGCAGGTCCAGAGCAGAAGATTGGGTTTACAACTCCATTTTTGATAGGAGAGAAGGAAGAATGTGGACACCGGTATGTTTGTGAGTTTTGTAGCAGGAATTGAGAAAGGTCCTGGCCCACAGCTATCCCCTCTGCAAGGCAGAGGTGATTTTAAAGGGCTGCTATTGAGAGTGGTAGAGGGATTAGACCCCAAAAAATAGCAAGATTGCTAGGAGCTTTGAGAGCCCCCGTGAGGCTGGAGACCAGGCATTAACAGAGGTACCTGCCCTGGTGATGGTGTGTTTTTGTCAACAGCACCAAGAGGCCAGGGAAGGGTTGGTTTCAGGTTGGGTTTCACCAGAAGGGTGCAAAGGTGGAACAACGGGGAAGGTAAGTTGAGAATATTGGCAAGAGAGAGTTTGACATAATATACCCTGAACTCCAAACCAGTATTGGGTGAAGACAAGACAAGAGGGGGTTGATGAGAGACAGAGTAGAGTCATCTGGACCTGGAAGCTCCCATGGGGTTACAGGTCAGATGTAGAGAGAGAGAAACTTGCCACATGTTTGTCTAGGGCTTAACAGTCAAACTCTAGGGCCTCAGCCATGTCATCTAGCTACTCGGCTACAGTATGTTCCAGAAACACCAAATCTAGTCCAGTCCAGGTGGTCC